TCTCAAGACAACCTGCATACTAAATGTGTTTGTGACCCGGTCCTGTTGCTCAATTTGGTAACCTCTTGCCAAACCAAAAAGGTCTGGAGAGCCTGGGATCTGGCATGCGTTGACGTGTCTTTTTACGTTGGCCTGATCCTGTCCCTTTCCCAATGTGGGTTTTGGAAGGTGATTTGTGACTCTCGGTAGCTTGGATTGTCACCTCAAGTAATGTGGGTGGACACAGATTGGCTGCACTACTGTGTTTCCCTGAAAATAAGACAGGGTCTTATATTAATTTTGCTCCCCCCCCAAAAAAAACCATTTGGGCTTATTTTCAGGGGATGTTTTGTTTTTTTCATGTATAACAATCTACATTTATTCACATGCAGTCCTGTCCTATTCTTCTGGCTGCTGCACAAGGGTGGAGGGTGGGGGTTTCTCATAACTGGGGCTTATTTTGGGGGTAGGGCTTATATGACGAGCATCCTGAAAAATCCTACTAGGGCTTATTTTCCGGTGAGGTCTTATTTTCGGGGGAAACGGGGTATATAAACGTGGCGCAGTGAATACGGAGATACCCTGACCTCCGTTTTTGGTCTTGGGATCTGTTCTTTCCCTTTCCTCCTCCCACCTTAAAACGGCTGTTGGTGCTGAGCAGGTGTTGCCTTGAGCTGCGCAGGCAGGAGTGGCTCAGGGGCCATGGAACGCCTCACCGCGGAGGCCTCACTTCTCCAACCATCGTGCCTTTTCCCTGACAGCTCCTCTCTAGCTCTGGCTGCCCACTGCAGTGCTTCCATCTGCCTCTCCTTTTTCGTCTTTGAGCGCTGGGAGACGGTCACTTACTGGTACATCATGAGCTTCTGCAGGTAGATTCCTGGTGGTCCTGGGATATAAGAGAGGGAGACCGTTCAAGTAAACCAGGGACACCGGGGCTTGTATTTCGCGCTCCCCCCTTTTTTTTCTTGGTGCTCACCTCCCCGCCCCACTCACAAATCTGTGTTTTTCTCCCCAAAGTGCTTTGCCGGCCGCTGTTGAGGTCTTTCTCCTCATCTCCGTCTTTGGCTTGAAGAAGAAGCCCCTGTGAGTTCTGAGCTCAAGAGGTGAAGGGCCCTCCCTTGCCTTGAAAAAAAACTCCTTTGGATCCAGACTATGGGAGGGAAGTTCCAGATTAACTCCGTTGGGATGAAGCAGGTTGCAATGCTTTTTAACAGATAATTAGAAGAGGCTGGCTGCATTCGGAGAGATGGATGATGGGCCTTCGTGAGAGACCAGCCTCTGGCCTTCCCGGGTTGCACTCGTGCTCCTCTGTGGCTTTTGTCTCCCTTCCACCAACGGTCACCTAAAGCGTTCGCGAGGTGAGGCTGAACTGCGGATCATGGACTCCCTCCAGCGGAGGCTCTTTGGCATTGCGCCCCATCGGATTCGAATGGTGCATTGAACCTGTGCATTTAAAAATCTACAGTCGTGTGCTCGCCTTGCCCAAATCAGCCCCTCTGGAAGTTGTGGCCTGCAGGCCTTTCTGCACAAAGACAGGAATGTTTTCTGGAAGAAGAATCGCTTTTTTATAGGTGTGTCTATTTTATTCTGGGCAGGTGATGGTTGTTTGGAAATAAACTCACTTTTAGAAAAACATTAATAAAATGGCATCCAGGTGCAAAGAGGTTCTATAGAACTATGTATCTTATAAACTTCAGGATAGCATGCCTGAAGCTCTTTAGAGTTTGGGAAAGTTCCCGTTTTGGACGACTGCTCCCAGAACTTCCCCAGCCAGTGTGTGCGGGGATCACTCTATAAAGGAAATAGAACCTCTCACTCCTGGGAGCTAAAGTTGGCAAAGAAATGATATACTTTAAAAGTGCTTTTTGAAAGAGCTTTGGACTTGGGAGTGCAAGAGGGAACTCCTGAGAAGCAGCAATGTGCCACTAAACCAGTCAAGCTCCTTCTCAATACCTTGTCCTCTAGAACAATGGTTCTTAACCTTTGTTACTCAGATGTTTTTGGACTGCAACTCCCAGAAGCCTTCACCATCAGCTCTGCTGGCTGGGGTTTCTGGGAGTTGCAGTTCAAAAACACCTGGGTAACAAAGGTTAAGAACCACTGCTCTAGAACATGGTATTGGTTCTAGGTTACAAATAAAAAGAAAATATGCAAGGCCCCTTTGCTTACGGTATTTGCTTACTGTACTGCAGTTCTTTTGGTGCAGTCTATAAAAAGTGATTCAGGTATGATAGTACAGTACAATAATGGTCCCAGATCAAATCAAGCCTGAACTATCACTGGAGGCAAAAAAAAGAGATGAAACTGAGGCTGTCCTACTTTGGGCTCATCCTGAGAAGGCGGGATTCTCTGGAAAAGACAATAATGCTGGGAAAAGTGGAAGGCAGTGGGAAAAGAGGAAGACCCAATACGAGATGGACTGCCTAAAGGAAGCCACAGGTTTGAGTCTGCAAGAGCAGCGTTGTAAAGGACAGGACCTTTCAGAGAATGCTAATTCACAGGATCGTCAAGAGTCAGGTTTGACTTGACCACACATAATAACAACAATACTGTATCGGAATCTCTCCCAACCAAGTCCCCTGCGTGGAAGACATGCTGCCTTGCACGTTAAGAGGCAATGGGTGTTTAAGCCCTGCACCTCTGGAGGGCACTTTTAAGTTAACAATGATTACAGCCCTGCTCTCTCCCCCAGTCCTGCTTTTGCTAGTGAAGGGTGTGCCATATTTCACAGGAATTATGTGCAGACCTGATTTTTTTTGGGGGGGGGAGGGAAACCCTCTTTGTACCAAATTGTGCCAAAAGGAACAGATACAGTAGCTTTGCACCGTCTCTAGTGGAGCCTGAGATGGGGTGGAAGGCGAGGGCTAAGCAAGCAAGTGGCACCTTCTTGTCCTTTTTAGAAATTAACCAAGCTAAATAATATGAAATTGCAGGCAGCCTCTGTGGTAGGGGGAGAATATCGGGCACATAGAATCAGGAACATTTTCTGGACACCGAAGATGAACAAATAAGCCTTTGGGGAATATTTGTCCCTTCCATTTTTATTTTATTTTGTAAAAGTTATACAGATCCAACTGCTCCCAGAGTATCCATTTTTCCTCTGTTCCTTATCCTTCTGCACAGGCGGTCAAAGCAGAAGAGCTGCGCCCTCGTAGCCTAGTCAATACGGGGCCATCGTATTTCCGGAGCAATAGGCACTGCCTTTTATGCAAATTAGGGAGGGCGCGGTGGCCCCTGGGAAAGCGGAGGATTATATTTTTTTCCCCTCTCAGGGCTGTTTGTGCCTCGTTCCCACGACGTCTGCGGGTGGCCTCTGGCCCAGAGGCAGGAGGGCGGAAAGCACGGGGAGCGACCGAAGCTGGGGAGCGGCTTTCGTGGAAAAGCTGAACGGGGCGCCACCGTGACTTTCGTGGCTGTGCCCCGAAAGGCGGCCCCGGCGTGTCGAAGCGCTCTGTATCGTCAGTGAGGTATATCCTTACCTGTTCCTCCTCCGGGAGAACAGCAGATGATGAATGGAGAGCGGATGAGACCTGATTAAGAGTCTCCGCTGGTCGGGAACCAGCAACACCCCGGCTTGCTCCTTTCTGATCTCACTGGCGGTCGCTTCCTTCTCAGAAACAGTGTTACAAAAAAAGAAATAAATTTCGGAAATGGAAAGTAACGCTTTACTGAAATAAGCTATTTAACGCGGGTGGGAGCAAATGGGTAACATTGTTTCTGGCGCGGCTCTTTAAGATACTGTACGTTGATGAAATTTTTTTTATTGACCTTACTGTTAGTGTTTATGATTTATCTTACACGCCCAGAGTAATTTAATATGTGAATAAGCCACTAACCATGTGGTTGTCAGTATCTGCTTGAATAAATAAACAGAAGGAAAGAGATGGAGTATCTATGTTGAAGCAAAATCCGGGAAAATCCAAAGAAACAACAGGAAAACGGGGGCCCTAGGAAGGCTGATTATTTATATTATTATTTATGTTATATTTGTTACCTATATTATTTTTAATAGGAGCTTTCCTGGACATCTCCACTTCATCAGATATATGGAAACAGAATGAACAGTTGTACAGTATCAGTTTTATACTAAATTGACTCTTGGCAGGTATATTTTATATGCAATGATTTATGGTTTGTTGTTTTAGGGCTCTGTCAGAAAAATTCCTCTGCAGACAGGAAAACAGACTTCAGGCTTGGGCAAAGATTGGGGGGAGAGAAGGGAGAGAAATGGGTGTTTTTTTTAAAATATCTCTTAAAATTCATGTTGGAAAGGAAAAGAGAATATGCTGGAGGAGACCCTTGAGAGTTCCCTGGAGTGCAAGGAGAACAAACCTATCCATTTTCTGAAGGAAATCAACCCGGAGTGCTCCCTGGAAGGACAGATTCTGAAGCTGAGGCTCCAAGACTTTGGCCACCTCATGAGAAGAGAAGACTCCCTGGAAAAGACCCTGATGTTGGGAAAGTGTAAAGGCAAGAGGAGAAGGGGACGACAGAGGAGGAGATGGATGGACAGGGTCATCGAAGCGACCAACATGAATTTGACCCAACTCCGGGAGGCAGTGGAAGACAGGAGGGCCTGGCGTGCTCTGCTCCATGGGGTCAAAGAGACAACTAAACAACAAAGGGAAAAGAAGATGGCAGAGGAATCCTATGTGTTCCTGTAGGGAATATTGGCAGTTTTTACCTTTGAGCCTTGTGAAAGGTAGTGAACACCACCAGGTCAGACAAAACCAAAAGATTAAAAAAAAAAAAGAGAGAGAGAGAGAGAGACAAGTTGTGTTGGCCTTTTTTCTGGGACCGGTTTCCTTTGAAGGGTCAGCAGTCACAAAGTGATTTTTTGTTTGTTTTTACTTTATTTATTTTAATTTTTTTACTCTGCCTTTCTCCTTAAAATGACCCAAGGTGGCTTACCTCATTAAAAGACCATGTTTAAACCTAAAAGCTGCAAGTTTACAGATACTAGGGAGGGTCAAAGGCCACACTACAACACACTTTGATGTACAACTTTGTGATACAGCACAGGCATCCTAGAGGTTTTCTTCCTTTTATACTTCCTGCTCTTCAAAAGCATCTCCTGTGGTCACTGTTTCAATCCAAAGAACTCGGCATCCTAGGAGAAATCTAAAACCTTTTTATGGTTATGGGGTCTCAAGATTTTTCAACTAACACCAACCGAGTGACCTCTGATGGGCCTGAAAGTACAATGGTTACAAAGCCTTGCTCAGGGTTTGCAAACTATAAACCACAATTAAAATTTTAACTGAACCAATTCACCTAATTTTCTGTTTCCCCTCTTTTCTCCTTTGGACCACGAAAATATCTCTCTCACACACACAGCCCCCAAAAATAAAAATTAAGTGAACTTTCCATTATCATAGGACTCTTCACCAGGTCAGACTTGGGGCAGGGAGGAAGGGAAAACGCAAATCAACATAAACATTTTAAAATAAAATACTCATCATCATCTGTCAGTCATTTCATAGGTACCTAAGTTCGCGGTACAGCTTAGTTGCAATATACATTCTATTTCTAAATTGATCATGGGCTTCCAATTATCAAATATTAATTTACACTCTATTTCTGAGCCAGTCATAAAATTTATGCCAAATTTATGTGAGGTTGTTAAGCAACTGTGGCTCCCCGTGGAGCTTTTTCCCCCCGCCTTCTGATTGGCTAATTGCCACTTCCATCACTTGGACTGTGGGTATCGGTTCTTCCCCTCTTATATCTCATTGCTTGGCAATTGCAGGGCCACTTGCTTTTGATTGGATGTCCTTCCTAGGTTTTCGTAGCAGGTCCCGCCCCTTCTTTCGTTGCTAGGACGCGTTCTCTTCTGCCTAACACCCCCCCTCCTTCCTTCCATTCAGATTCCCCAATCCCTCATTTACCATCTCACAAAATGGCCGGAGTAGCCGCCTACGTTGCTCTTTCCTCCTTTCTTATTGGCTGGTCTCGTAGAGACTGACAAGCGGCCGCTTTGCGCATTCCTAAAATGAGCCAATCAGAAGCCAGCCCCATTGACGTCTCCCAGAGCCCACTAATCAGTACCTGCTTCCGCATCCGTTTGAGCGTCTTTAAGTATATAAAAAAAAAAGAGGATGCGTGACCAATGGGAGGTCAGAAGCGTCCCTCGAGGGGAGGAGTGTGTCGTGAGGAAGGCTTCGGGCGGGAGCGGCGAGGCAACCAATGAGCAAACGCAAGAGCCGCGAGAGAGGGTTGTGCCGGGCGCGTTGTCACCAATCAGAAGGCGCGTTTGCTGGTGGTCCTACGCAACGCCGCGCCAGCCAATGAGGCTTCTGGAGGGTAGATTTGAAAGGCGAAAGTCTTCAGTCTGCGGCGCGACAGCGATGGGGAAGGAGGTGCGTGCAGGTAAAGCGGGGACCGAGAAGGCCGCGGGAGGGAGCGGGCTGCTGTAAAGGGAAGGCCGGGCGGGGAGCCCCGATCCGCATCTTTCCTTTTATTTTATTTATTTATTTTATTTCGGGAGGGAGCGGGCTGTTGTAAAGAGAAGGCCCCGATCCTCATCTTTCCTTCCCGGAGTCTCCCCCAAAGGCGTAGAGTTTGGAAACGTTACTCTTTTAGCCTCCCCCAAAGGCGTAGAGTTTGGAAACGTTACTTTTTTGGGGGGGGCGGACATTAGTTCCTAGAGTCGCGCGGGAGGAGCCGGGCTTCCGGGGGTCATGCCTGCGTTCTCATGTTTGGATCGACGGATTAAAGCGATTTACAAAGCTTTTTGCCTGTGTCCCAAGAACTGTGTTGATGTAGAAATGGGAACCGTTGTGAGTCCGTGCAAGGATATCGATCAACACACACACTTAAAACAACAGTTAGTCTTTAAGGTGCCATGTGTTTTTGTCTTTTCAGTTTTTTTATATTCTTATTTTTCTTTTGGTTTTTGCCCGGCGTTGTGTTTGAGCCACTCATATTTAACCCTCACCTTCCACCCAGCTTCTCGAAGCCTAGTCTGCTGGGGTGGATAGTGGCCCTGGAATAACAGGAGCATCCTTTTGTATCAGCTGTGGCCACAGATTGGTTCAGTCACGCAGTGATTTGAAGTGATCTGCAGGTGAAGCAGATGCTGCTTAACCACTGAGCTGGGATTCCCCCTGCCCCAACATAATCTGCAAAACAACAAGATCTTCATAATTTTAGAACTGCAGAGCTGGAAGGGTCCCCTGTTGAACGTGGAGTCCAGCCCTGGTCAAGGAATTGAACTCTTAACCTCTGGCTTCATAGCCAGATTTCTAAACCACTGAAAGATGATCAAGTCATAAGCACTCATAGCATAATTTAACTCTTTGTCCGAAACACAATAAACAATTCTGAGCCAACTAATTAGTAAAGATGCCCCAGATACTGTTATTAAATGTGCTATTTGAATGATCTTATCAGCCCCCATGATCCTCCTGAGCTTATAACATCTGGGGTGGCCCTCCTCTCGGTTCAAGCCCTTTTCCAGGCTGGCTTGGTGAGGGCAGGAGAGAGGGCCTTCTCGGTGGCTGCTCCCAGGCTTTGGAGCGCCCTGCCCTGGGGAAGCTAGGTTGGCCCCACCGCCTTTTTGTCTTTCTGTCTTCAGGCAAACTTCAGCAGGTAGTAAGGGATCTCAGAAATGCTGGTTATTAACTTACAAGTTTTTTAAAAATGTCTTTGAATTGTTTTTGTGCTTTCTTTTTTAAGCTTGCTGTATCTTCAATTGTTTTGTTGTTTTTTACAAAGTGATATTTATATATAGTGTTTCTAAATTTGTTGCTTTAATCTCTTGTGAGCCGCCTTGGGTCCCCTACCTACACAGGGAGGAAGCCGGCATATAAATAATTTAAATAAATATAGGAAGAAGTGTTTTCCCTTATAGAAGATGGTCAAAGAACCTTAGCTGACTGGTTTTGTTTCAGCAGGACAAGAAATCTTTTCTTTGGCCCATTCTCATTCTCCCAACACTCCGTTGGAGTGGATGTCCCTTGGTTCTGGGATTGCGTGGGAGGGAAAAGAGCTGCCCTCTCTCCACTTTATATCCATCCCCTGCATCATTTTATATGTCTCCATCATGTCTCCCCTCAGGCGCCTTTTCTCTAGACTCAAGAGCCCCGAACACTGCGTAGCCTTTCTACATCAGGAAGGTGCCCCAGCCCAGTCCTCATTCAAGTTGCTCTCTTCTGCCCCCTTTCCCAGTTCCACCATGTCTTTTGTCCAAAAAACGAAGGGTAGGTGGTTAACTGCCACATCTTTGCCCCGGGACTGGATGGCAAGCCAGGCCCAGTTCAAAAGAGTGGATTTCGTCTTTAAAACAGAGTTAGCGACAGGTTAAAATACTTTTAAAATGCTTTTAGAAGACTTCTTCCCCTATGTACCTTTTTTGGAAGAAGGTCATTACCCGAAACCCTCCTTATGGTGTCCATCCCAGCAGCAGGAGAGGATATTTTTTTAGTTGTGGCACCTAAAGCCTTTGGGTTGCTCTGTCTTTCTCCCCCCTCCCCCCTTCCCTCCCTCCCTGTGCTTTCTCATGCGTAGCCTTTCTTCATCAGGGAGGTGCCCCAGCCCAGTCCTTCGTTCGAGTTGCTCTCTTCTGCCCCTTTTCCCAGTTCCACCTGAAGCCTTTGGGTTGCTCTCTCGCTCTCCCCCCCTCCCTTCCCTCCCTCCCTGTGCTTTCTCATGTGGACTAGGAGGACTACTGTTTGCTTTGCCTATTGCTGGGTTATCTGGGTTCAGTATTTTTTTCTTCTTTCATTCAGCCCGCAGGCTTATGGTGTGACTTGCCTTATACAGCAATACAGAGGGAGAGAAGAGAGATTTTCAGGTATCTTGACGCTGGAGCTGTACTAATTTGGGGGACAAGCTTTCTGGCTTTTTCTTCCTGTGGGGGGCTTGCAATCTGAAGCCAAGCAAGAAACTGAACCGTTGTCACCCCCAGGATGGCAAATAAGGAAAATGTGAGCAGTATCTACAGCAGCCTTTCCAAAGTAAGTTGGGGGATCATACCATTTCCAAGGATGGCCATTGCCTTGGGAGGGAATGGTGTGTATGGGATTGTGCTCTTAGAAGGATTTTTTTAATGCTTTGGATTCAGCATAAGACATCATAAAGACTTAGCTGATTAATTTTAGGCTGTATCTCTGCTCTGACAAATAAGTTCCCATTTCTTTGTGAGGACACTGAATCTTGGGCACCTGCCACTCTTACTATTATTGGGAGATCCTGAGAAGAAAGGGAATAAGGCATACTTTCCTGGAAAAAAAGAAGAAGGAGGTAGGCTTCCAAGAACCAGATTGACCAGGACCAAGTCTTGATGTTTCTTTTTAAAGTGTCCTTTTAAAGTTTTTAAACATTTTAATTTTGATAGCCACAGTATGGTTAATAATTTCTTAAATTTGCAGTTTATTGTATTTTGAGTCTAATTTGTTTAATTCATCTGCGAGTGCCTTAGGTCCCTTCACTGGGAGAAAGACTGCATAGAAATAAAACAGACAATAAGGCCACTGCTGAAAGACCTCAGGGTGGTATCTACTACATTGTAGTATATGCTACCCCTAACCAGTTTCGATAACACAAAAACTTGCTTGTCTGTACTGTATAGGCTCCAACACAGAAGAACCTTAGCTGTCACTGAAGTGATATAACTTTACTCTGAAAGGCTTAGGATGGGAATTTCTTCTTTCCATGAGATTGGAAAAGTAACTGCCACAATGCCCAGCCATCATGTGGTACAGTGGTGCCTCGCATTACAACGTTAATTCGTACCGGCGAAATCGCTGTAGAACGAAAATGTCGTAATGTGAAATTAAAAAGCCCATAGAAACGCATTAAAACCCGATTAATGCATTCCTAGGG